CTGATATTTATTTATTTATTTATTTTTCATTTTTTGATGAGATAAATTATTCTGATTATACCTTTTTGGGTACTTTTCTTGATGAGGTTCTATGTGAAATTTAGCATTACAAAGGAATTAAGACTCTGTACGAGATTTTGTTTTATTTCGGAGAACTTGTAGTTAAAAAGTCAGAAATTTTTTGGATTTATTTGTAAAATTATTTTATTGAAAAAATGTTCGAGGAAAAATGGGTTTTTTGAAAATTGGGACTCAAACATTAGCTAAATGATCTTGTAGCTGATTATCATTTGATTTTGGCCGAACTTTGATGTGATTTATCATTGGGAGGAAAGAAAGTACTGATGAAAACTTGAGTGAAATAGCATGTCCTTTGCTATTCCCTTGACATAATTTCTTCTTTTTTTCTTCTTTAACATTTTGTCTTATGGAAGTACTTAAACTCAAACTCAAAATTGTGGTAGCGGTTAAAACCTTTTTCCTAAATACTATGCCTTAAGGAAGTTAGAACAAAGTTCATGACGAGGCTGCTAAAATCATTATAATTAAAAAAATGGGCATGGAAAAAAAAAATGTGACAGTTAATCAAGAGAACATCAATGTAAAGCAAAGATTAATGAATCCTTTTGTAATGAAAAAATAATTTGTACATAGAACGAGTACGAGGAATTGAATTTATGTAGCTGGATATGTATGGCTGTAATTCATTGATTTGAGTTAACATTTTTAAATTCCGTATCTAGTTGTTAAATATGCTGATCTTTAACATTTAGCTCACTCCATGGTGGGTACTCAGACTATTCTGCCAAGTTCCATTTCTTAAATGAATGAAAGAGCTTGTATCTTTGCAGTGATATATCATTTTGCCATCTGATTTAACAATAACTTTGTTTGTAAAAAGTGAAGATATCCAGCATCTTGTTCTTTATACTCGTTAAAAAGTGAAGATATCCACCATCTGGCAAGTAAGTCAACATAAAAAGTAACTTGTAAAATATAATTTGCAAAAACAAAGCTTAAAGTAACTTGTACTCCTTTCTAAGCTTACCAAACATCCTCAATCTAGTTTCATTCTGAGAATATATATTCTGCTGTACCTTTAAGATAATCAACGCTTACAGTTCTTGCCTTCGGCTTTGTGTATAAAGTTTGGAACCCGAGCACATTGTGGAAGTATTGTGCATGCATATAACTTGTGCAATGAGGATGCTAATATTGTGGATTGATCATTATCCTCACAATTTAGAGTTATATACTTGTTCTATTCTTGTCAATCAATTATCATACTTGTTGAAACCTGATAATTAATCTTGTTTGTTGTTGAACCATGGTGTAATGGGACACTTTACATTGGTTGGACAGTTCAAAAACTGTGTGTTAAAAATTGATTTAGAATTCCTTTCTGGTACGGGCTTCCAACTTGTCTCCTGTATTTGTCTTTTTTGATTAGTGCGCAAACTGTTTCTCAGTTTAGATCCA